GGGGGGGACCCCCTGAATCTACCCGGTGGCGGACAGCCCTCACCTGCGAAGGCCCTTGTCCATGAAGCACATATCTCCGCAGCTGCTGTCGCCGTCATTTCCGACTTCTTCCTCCCCCGCCGCCTCCATGGCACCCGCGACGGGGAGCGGGATCTTAACTGGCGGACAGCGCTGGGTCCGAGGGCCTAGGACACGCCTCCTGGGAGCGTGGGAACGCAGCCTGAGGGGGCGGGGCAAGCGCCCCTCCTCCAACCGACAGCCGGGCACTTTCCCGCCCGGCGCGGCCGCAAAGCCTGGTCTCCGCTTTCTGTTTTACGGCACCTACCGCCTGACTCTGGGGGATTGCCGTAAAGCAAAACTCTTTCGAGTGTGTGGGCTTCGAAGCACCGTCCTGTGTTGTGATGGTGGCATTTTTGCGTTAGAGCAGAGTGGTTTTTGAAGGCAGTTTCACAGCATACCTTTGTGTTGTGTAATCTTACATATTTACCCGGTTTTGCCCTACCGGCCATTGCACCACCTGTCGATTCGTTAAATATTTGGGGGATACCTAAGTGTATCTGGTGCTTCCCAGTGCAACGCGGAGTAAGACGGGGCCTTTCACAATCCTGAAGGCCTGAGGAGGGCTAGGAACAGCACGGGGACACCTAGGCCAGTAGTTGAGTGGGTAAGTTTTCTAAAAGGCAGTGGTCGATGACCAAGTAGGCTTGCCAGGTCAAGAAGAGTGCTGGGAGTGGCTTCAGTGGCTTCTCTTCAGGAATTGCATAAAGGCCCAACTTTTTTTTTTCTGGAACAGCTCCTTGATTGGAACTACGGCATCACTTTGAACTGGTACCAAATGTTCACTATAGTAAGAGCCACTTGAGTAAATAAGACAATGCCCGTTTAGACTCAGTTGAAGCTTCTTATTAATAGTTTTGAGAAGCCCAGCCATAGTACTACAAGCAATAGAGTGCTGAACTATCCTGGAAAGCCCTGGTTCAGATCCCAGGTATATTTAACCCACCACGTGCCCATACACACCTTTGGCTAGCTGGGAGACTGAGGAGAGGATTATCATATTGTGAGACCTTGCCCCTCTCTCATGAAGTAAGTAATTTTTTAAAAAGATTTTTTTGTTGTTGCCATAAGGCATGTATGCTTGCCAGTGAGAGAGGGAGACAGAGACAGAGAAGAAAAGTGAGAAATCACTTGAATAAGGCACATGTCATGAAGAATACAACATGCCATACAGATGTATGATTAATAACTAAGTTGGAATTTTTTTAAGAGACATGCCATAGGTCAAGGTAGTTCATATGTGATTTCAAAAATAAATGAAATAGACTTTTTTTCTTTCTGGTAGTGATAAGATGCTGTGCCTGTTCAAAATGTTTCAATTTTTTTCCTTTAAAACGTTGTTTAAAAACATTTTGAAATATACCTTCTTAAATTTTAAGTGTACACTATGCTATTATTAACTATATGCACATTATTGCACAGCATAACTCTGGAACTTTTTCAGCTTGGAAGACTAAAACTTTGCTTATTGAATAAAATTCACCATTTTCCTTTCTCTCCAGCTTTTTTCAACCACTATTCTACTATCTGCTTCTGTAAGTTTGACTACCTAGATAGCTTGTATAAATGGAATCATGCAAGATCTTGTCCTTCTGTATCTGGTTTATGTCACTTGGCATTCTGACCATCAGGTCCATCCATGTAGTAGCATATATTTGGTTCTTTTCCGGTCAATATTTTGTTTTATGTATGAGAGGTGTCTTCAAGAAGTTTATGAAAAATACATATTATTTAAAAACTGTGCATGGATTTTGTTTTTTCTCCTTTACTTGTGCTGGACTATAATTCCATTTTTCCATATTTTTTTTATGTTTCCTATTTACCTCATCTCCTTTACCCAGTTAATCTGTTGATGGGCATTCATTTTTACCCATCTCTTGGCAATTGTGAATACTAGAATAAGAGCATGCAAATATCTGATATCTTTTTTTTTTTTAAAGAGATATTTTTGCTATAGGGCACATGCACTCACAAGAGAGACAGAGACAGAAAACAAGAAATATCCCCCCGGGGGGGGATGGCCATACCACAATCCTTTTTCTTCCATTCTCCTCTTGGGAATTTGGGCACTCATGCACATGCACCCAATGTGAGTTCTAGGCCACCAGGTCCAGGACTTGAACCACAGTCAACTATGTGAGGAGTTCATGTAACCATTATGCCATCTTTTGGTTCCCAAATATCATATATCTATATCTATATCTATATCTATATGTTTTAATATATCATATATATAAAAAATAAGATATAAGATATATATCATATATATGAGATATATATGTTTTAATATATATATAAAAAATAAGATATAAGATATATATCATATATATGAGATATATGTCATATATATCATATATATAAAATAAGATATAAGATATATATCATATATATACATATATATTATGTTTTACTGTCCACATATTTATCAATGACATTCTTTACATTCCAAAATGTACTCTGAAAGATACCAGCCTTCCTCATGTCTTCAAAATCTTTCATGGAATCATAATTTCTGTAGAAATCTGCATATGCCTCTTTCTTGGTTCAGCCACAGCAAACTTACAGGAAGCTGCAACACTCAGGGATACAGCGAATGCTCCAACAGTATGAAATTGCAGATGCTCGGCCAGAAGGCCACGCATCTGGGGTTTCACCAAAGCAGTGGAAGCCATGGCAGTTACTGTGCCTCAACACCAACGTCCTTCCCAGCTGAAGAAGAAATGCCAAAAATCTTATATTTTGATTGAAATTTTTTTGGAATTGAAGTGGGATTGCTGGATTATATAGTAGTTCTATTTTTAGCTATTTTTTTTTTTTTAAAGAGGTTTGTACCTTAGAGTGTGTGCAATCGCCAGAGAGAGAGAGAGAGAAAGAAAGAGATGAGAAATCACCTCTGGGGGCTTGGCCATACTCCAGCCCCTTCTTCTCCATTTTCCTCTGGGGATTTTGGGTGTACATGAGCACACACCCAGTTGATTTTCAAGCCACTAGGTCCAGGACTTGAACCACAGTCAGCCATGTGGGAGTCCAGTGATGTAACCACTTTGCCATCTGCTGGTCCTCTATTTTAAATTTTTAAAGAAGCCTCTATACTTTTTTCTGTGGTGACTACACCATTTTACTTAGATTTACTTGCTATCCTAATCAGGATTTCTCAGGCAGAATATGCATATTAGTTCTTTAAAAACAACTCCTGCAGTCTGATGTTTCTGTGAGGCGTCTAGGAAGTTCAGCCTCAAAAGCAATCTCACACCTAGGCACATTTGCCTTTTCCCCCCCATCATCAAAAGCATAGTCCCACTTAGAGAAATGTAACAAAGAACTATCATCCTCATCAACTATTGGTAGAATGAGAGAAAGCCCCATTAGTACCCCTCAAGAACTTGAAATTTCCAGTAACCACATAATAGCCAAAACTAGACATTACTTTGATAGCTTTGGAATTGGGCACCCAGCATAAAGAAGTTGAATTATGGAACTATTTAACAACAAGATTTGACAGCAGTTCCTAGGGAATAAGCACTAAGTATTCTCCAAAGACTGAGGGAAGCAGTGCAAGATCCAGGAGATATTTTGAGGAAAGACCTTTGAGGACTACTAGTAGGAAGGGTGACCCCAATTCCACACGACAGAGAGAGCACTGATCGTACTCAGCAAGACACCAGCAGCCCACATACCTAGGGAGACAGGTCTGTCCAATGAGGAGTATTTTTATTTGTTAATTATTTTTTTAAAGTTTGCTATGGGGCATGTATGCTCATCAGAAACAGAGAGAAAGAGAGAGAAAGTGAGGAAGCAAACCATCAGCTCTGAGACTCTAGCTTTGGCCATGTGAGAGTCCAGCACCTTCACCACTACAGCAACTACTGGTCCAGTGAGGAGTGTTTTAAGACCACTTTAGAAGACACGAAAATTCCTGTCGTTATTACGATACTCAACCAGAGAATGTTTCCACTGAAGAATCTAATTGCTCTCGACTTGAATGCTTTTGCCTTTTTCCAGTATTTAAATCCTGAAAAGTAATTTTGAAACATCACACAAAATGCTCACTTTTACACTTTCTGCCAATATTTCTTTAATTCTCCCCAAACAGTGATGTTGTTTTTAGTCATCTCATTCTTACACAAGATTTAAAAAAAAAAATGATTAAACTTATGTTGGTTCTCAAAATGATTAATTTGTGAAGTTCTCTAAGATCTTGTGAGTTCTTTTAAGGCTAAAATTAAAATGTGTGACATGTTAATTATTTTTAAAAAATCATATATGCTCTCAAACTAGTTATAGCTAATTAAGAAAGTAGGATTTCAAGAGTTTTGGAAAGAGAAGACTTCTTTGGAAATGTAACACTGTTTTCATTTAACTCTAAAATAATACTTTATGGATGGATATCAAGAAAAGAAATTGTAGTTTAATGGGAAGAACATAGACTTTGGATTTGAATGAGCAAGAATTTTGTTGCAGTTGGCAGTAAGACTCAGGAAACATCTCAAGAAAAAAGGAAAGCTTAAGGGCCAGCAGGTGGTGTGGTTAGCTCAAAAGTCAGCTAGTATGAGTGGTGGGTGAGGGTGGTGTGCTATTGTATTATGGAACAGAATAAAGTCTGATGCAGTCTCTGGGCCTAGTCAAATACTGATTGTCAGAAACTTACTGTACAAAGGGAAAAAGACCTTGATGAAGTCCTGCAGACACACTCTGTTTGCAAATGTTTCCAAAGGTCAGGTTGCAAAGAAGGAAGGTCTGGTCCATGTGTTTGGAACAGATGATCAAATTGAAATCTGTAAACAGATTTTGACTAAAGGAGAGGCTCATCTGATAAAGAAAGAAAGCACACACAACTGGAGCAGATGTTTAGGAACATTGCAACTATTGTAGCAGACAAGTGTGTGAACCCTGAAACAAGGAGACCAAACACTGTTATCCTTATTGAAAGAGCCATAAAGGACATCCATTATTCAGTCAAACCAATAAGAATACAAAACAACAGGCTTTGGAAGTGATAAAACAGTTAAAGGAGAGGGGCCAGCAAGTGTTGTGGTGGTTAAGGGTGTTGGACTCCCACATGGCCGACTGTGGTTGGAGTCCCGGACCTGGCAGATTGCTTACTCACTTTCCCTCTCTCTCTGTATTCTGCCCCTCTCTGATCAAATTAAAATAAGTAGGTAAACAAATA